GTTCTGCGGTCACTCGCTTGTGTGGGTTCTTTGCCTGTGCCGGGGTTTATCCGTGGACCACCACGCGATCTAGATCCGGTCGGATCTACGCAGTATGACGGGTGTTATTTCACAAAGGAAATAACAGCCGAGGGTACTATTTCGCCAAGGAAATAATAGCCTTTAGTTCTCAGGATCAAAGGCCAAGCTTTAATCCGGAGGGAAAATGCGCTTTGATCCAGAGGGAAAATGCGTAGATCTCAGATCTGATCTCTCTCGAACTCCTGCCTTATTTGGCGTGGATGATCGCCAAGAACCAGATCTGATATCTCCAAGTCCTCAAAGTTCCAAAGCTTTAATCTTTTTAAATTTTGAGCCTTCAATCCTGCAGAGCTTCGCCTTCAAGTCAGATCTAGGCTCAGATCTGTGCTCGGCCACCTAGGTGGCTTGGCCACCGAGCCACCTAGAGGTGGCTCGGCTTTGGTCGAGCCACCTAGAGGTGGCCCGGCCACCGAGCCACCTCTTGGTGGCTCGGTTTTGGCTGAGTCCTCCAGGTGTTGTGCCGTGTTGTCCGTTGTCCGGTTTTATGGTTTTTACTGTTGATCTGGACTCTGATTTGGTGTCTGGATCCCGATTTGGCAGTAAATCCACTTTGGTGTTTGAGTTCGAATCCGTTCTATGGTTGGATGACTCGTTGACTCCCCGAACCGTTGGCTTGATTCCACACACGAATGGATGCATTTCGTTGCTTGCGTGCGATTCGTTAACCTCGTCACCTCGTTAATCCGCTTCGTTGCGTGTCACTTGGCTTCGGTGTTGTGGAGCCTTGCTGGTTCGTCAATGCTTGGATTTGTTGGTCATGCATTTCTCTCATATTCTGCATGGCCATCTGTATTTCGAACCTAAAGCTCTCCTGTTATTTAGTCATGGCTTCTTCTAGCATCTTGGCTACTTGCTCTGCACTTATCATAAGTGCCTCGCGGGGTTGTCCCTCGCTGGATACCGTATTATCTGATGCAACCGCAGAGCAGGAATCTGATTCTTCATCTTCTGACGGTAATCTTGTCCGAACCCTACCATAAGTTCCTCGTATGATGGCTCCGGACTGCAAACGGGTCATCCACCAGGGTACTTCCGGAATCGACTCAGGATTATCCTGTGTCGACGTCCCTTTGCTGGTCATATTAGTGGTGACCCTCGGAAATTCTCCATCTTTGACTACCCTTCTTCTTTGTCGGAAACGCCTATGCCTTGGTTTTGGCGTTTCAGTACTGAGCCTTTCGAAAACCGAAATTCTTTCAGGGACTGTCTTGATGCAGTTGCACTCAGACAATACTGCTCATTGAGTTTCTAGTTCTCGAGGACTCCTTTTCCTAGTTTTACTCGTACCCCCAACACGATAGTACAACTCGTCTGCTTGAAGGTCGGAGTAACCTATCATGTGTTGGCACGACTTCTCAGGTATAACGCTATCGTCATCCGACGACAATGTTTCCTTCTGAGTGTAGGCATCGAAAATTGCCTATAGGTCTCCACGAAAGGCTCAGTGTTAAGAAGACGATGAACGTCACTATCCAAGTCACAGAAGCTTGATTGATGTCGACGAGCGCTTGAAGTGAATCGGCGAACTATGTGAAGCAACGGAGTTTCAGAATAACGAGGATACGATTGATCGGGAGCCTCGCGTCGCTTACAAAAGGCGCAACGCCCCTCATGTCTCATTCATTCAACAGATGATCTAACCATCAGAGCTGATAGAACTCCTCATCAGCTTTCCAACGCATTTCGAATCACTCAAATCCAAGTTCGGACGAAGAATTTACAGCGGAAGCGGATGAATACACCTCAATGGAGTGTCTCGGATCAAGTGGAGACACCCTAGGGTGTCTCCAAGGTAGATTTGGGCTTTAAGATTGTTTTAACCGCTCCGCAACCCCTCAAGCCTATAAATACAAGCCTTAGGCCT